ATCGTCTGTTAAAATTAAGACAGTCAAACTTGTAACACCCCGTATAACAATTTTATAAAGTATAGTTTTCTCGTTTAAATATTTCTTCTCTATTTAGCAAAAATTTGATGTCGTCTTTTTTGAACAATTCATTCAGCATTTAATTTCAAAGCGTTGCGCTAGCCTCTATACCAAATTTCAAAATTTCACACACTCATGTATTTGTACCGCCAGTATACATTTCCCAGAGCGTAAAACTGTTTATCAAACCATTTAGTGAGTGGGAGTTGATACGTCCGAGTTTGTGTGAGCTTTTTATAGACTGTTTTCGAACCTTCATTTCACTTTATCATTCGCTTTGCGCTGACCCAGCATACAGAACGGAGGAAACCTTGTCCTTTTTTTGAATTATTGGACGATCCCTCCGGTTTGGATGACTATTTTGCGGTTCTTTAGCACCTCAGGTCAAGCTAACAGAATTTTTATTGCATATTTCATGGGACGCGTAGAATGGTGCGTATGTCGTACTGGGTGGCCAAAATTAAAGATAAACTCACTTGAGTTCTCCGTCATATTTAATGCAGTTTCGTTAAATCATATTTAGACCAGGGCGTATCTGTTTTGAGGTGTGAGACGGAGCAAGCTATTTTTTGTTGGTATACCTTCAGTAGAACTCACATAATAAAAGTGTAGATCCCTAGATTTGGACGAGGTCCGAAACATTTTCAAAATTGCAAAAATGTTTAAAAAATTTTTAAAAATACCTGTTTTATCTGAGTTTTTTTACTTACAGTATATTGTGCAAAATTCAATTCTAAAAATTTTTTTCCTCTTCAATATTCCAAAATGCCTAGGTTCTACTGAAGGTATTCCAGCAAAAATTATAGCTTGCCCCCTCTTATATCCAAGAAGTGGGATATTTCGACAGATCCAAATTATACCATTTGAATCAATGAATCTGGAGTACAAAACCACAAAAACTTTATCAACTAATGTTTATTTACAGTTTACACCCTCCTTAACAAACTGCTTACTTGACTTCAGTGTTACATCGTCTGCTTAGGTTCATTCATCTTTAACCTTGGGACACAGTTAGCGCAGAGATTTTTGCGACATTTCGGTAATAACAAAGGCTATTATTATCGATATTTCAACGGTGCTTGTAAGTAGGTGAGTTGCGCGTCGGACCAATTATTGTACTCCAGTTTTTAAACACGTTTCAGATTAACTTAACGCTTTAATGAATACGTCGTTTCTTTAAATATGCAAAAATACGAATAACCCGCTGTAACCCACAAACCAAGTGTTACGGTTAGAACGCTTGGTTACCAGCTCGTTGTACTCAATTAGCGCGAGAGCAATGCTTATTTTTATAAACAGCCCGCATGAGACTAATATCTCCTTAATCTTTGAGGCTCTAATTATAAATAGCAGAGAAAAGGCTTTATGTGGATTCTCTGAGGGAAATATCGTTTAGCCAAAAGTAGAAATTAACCCTAACAAGATATCAGCATTAAATAGGCTCCAGAAATGATATGATGTCATAATAAAAATTGTTTTTTTATTAAAGAAGCCTATAAGGGTCAAAATTTTTTTACTAACTAATGAATAATTTTCATGAAGAAATATAAACATCAACGATCAATATTTAAGAAGTTGGAAAAATAATTTCGTCATGTAAGAGGAAAAGAGAAGAAAATGTAGAGTGGAATCAAAGAAGAGGGAGGGATATAAATAGAAGAAGTGGGGGGGGGAGAATTCAAGAAGGAACAAGCTACTGAAAATAATCACAGAATTAATAACAGAAAGAGCAGAATTACACAAGAAAAAGTCAAACTGATAAGGAGATTTTGGAGATAAAAAGAAGACATGACTAATTGTGGAAATTATATTATTTCATAGACATAAAATACTGGCCTTAATGTAGCATATAAATATTGGCGATAAAACTAAGTAGATAGAAAATGTGGAAGATTATCATATTTTTGTAAACGAAAAATATTGACTATTATTATTTTAGGTGGCAATGAATTTTGTTGTATCTGGGGCACGTCGATGTGATGAATTGTTTCAAATAAAAATTGGAGTTATTGAAGAAATGGGAAATAGATTGCTAATCACTCTGCCAACTACAAAAACGAAGAAAAGTGATCTTTTATTGTATGCGAATATTTAGACCTTTATCGGAAATGTAGTACCGTAAGACTTACACAAATAGATAGCCACATACAGGGTGTTCCATATAAAACTTTCCACTAGGACATTTCGTTTAATATGAAGTTTTGAAAGAATTTCAAAAACACGTCGATTTTTAATTTGAGGGGGATATCGACTTACATCATTACTTATTTTGCAGTTGCCACCCCTTCGTAGATTGAGGTATCAATTTTGAAATCGTGTGATACATCTTTTGAAAGCACTTTTGATACTGACTATGAATCCGTAAAAAAATTAAAAAATCGTTATACGTTTTCAAGAAAAAAACATTGAAATTAAATTTTTGGAATTTTGTATTTTTACAGTTAAAATTGTTTATAATAGATGCTCAAATATGGAGCCTGTCTACAAAACATCTCCTTATATTTGAAAAACCTCTGAAGTTAAATTCCGACATTCGTTTACAATACGTTGTCTTAAATCTTCAAGATTTTCCGGTTGATCTGCAAAACCACTGATTTGAGATGCCCTCAGAGAAAAAAGTTGTTTGGACTCAAATCGGGAGACCGAGCTGGCCATTCCATAGCCCCACGCCTACCTATGTATAGTCCTGGAAAATTCTGATCCAAATAAGCCCGAACTCGTGGCTCAAAATAGGGTGGAACTCCGTTTTGTTGGAACGTCACAAGATTTTCATCCAGCTGATCATCGTTCTCCAGAATTTCTGTGATCATGGGATCTATATGATCTTTCAACAAACGTAAATAGCTGGCTCCAGTCAAAGTGCCATCTAAAAAAAAATAAACCAACTATGTGATTATCCAATATTCCTGCCCAGACATTCACCCTTTCACCCGACCAATAACGAATACTATGCCTATTCACTGTACCATTGAGAAAAAACGTACACTCATCACTAAAACAGATATTGTAAAGTATATTTTGATTTTCTGTAATTCTGTTAGACAAGATATCACAAAATTCTATTCTTCGATCCGGATCATCCTCGTTCAAACAATGCACAAGATGTATTTTGTACGGATGCCATTTTTGTTTTTGCAAAATCCGATGAACGTTCGACTTAGGGATCCCTGTAGTACGCTCTTACGATCGCACGAATTTTGCGGATTCATTATCAGTTCGCCCAAAATTCCTACTTCCATTAATTCGTTAGGAGAATAGGAAATTTCTTAACAATCTGGTTCACGTACGTATGACTTGTTTGGTGATCATTGAAAATTCGAGCAGTTTCTCATTTTGTTTTTCATAAAGAAAAATTCTTCAACTCTTTCAGCTAACGAATAATCCATAATGAAAAATTGATAAATGTAAAAGTTACACTTTGATTGTAAGCCGACTATGAGATTTGATACAATTGAAAATGGTTTCAACAATAACACATTTCCGATAAAATGATATCAAACAAAAAAACGTAAAATAGAATGGAATGCAATGGAATTCATAAAAAATTATGACAAGAACTTCAACCTTCTTTACGATTCGTTTATTATTGTTTTTATCATCTAAATTAGAAACCTTTTTGCAGTTTAATAATTAATGTTTTGATGTATGAAAACCTTTTCAGTGGTTAACACGTGCTATAAATTAAAATAAAACAATTTTAATGTAAAAATATAAAATNTCATTATCAGTTCGCCCAAAATTCCTACTTCCATTAATTCGTTAGGAGGATAGGAAATTTTTTAACAATCTGGGTCAGGTACGTATGACTTGTTTGGTGATCAGGATGCAACTCATTGAAAATTCGAGCCGTTTCTCATTTTGTTTTTCATAAAGAACAATTCTTTCAACTTTTTCAGCTAAAGAATAAACCATAATTGATAAATGTAAAAGTTACACTTTGATTGTGAGCCGAATATGAGATTTGATACAATTGAAAATGGTTTCAACAATAAAACAATTCCGATAAAATGATATGAAACAAAAAGATAAAATGGAATGGAATTCATAACAAATTATGATAAGAACTTCAACCTTTTCTTTACGTTTCGTTTATTATTGTTTTTATCATTTGAAGTAGAAACCTTTTTGCAGTTTAATAATTAATGTTTTGATGTATGAAAACCTTTTCAGTGGTTAACACGTGCTATAAATTAAAATAAAACAATTTTAATGTAAAAATATAAAATTCCAAAAATTGTATTTCAATGTTTTTTTCTTGAAAACGAATAACGATATTTTTATTTCTTTTACCATTTGAAATTTCAAAGTTGATACCTCGATCTACGAAAGTGTGGCAACTACAAAATAAGTAATGATGTATGTCTTCCTCAAATTAAAAATGACAGTATTTCTCAAACTTATGGAGAAATAAAACGGTTTTTTCTAATAGCACGTTCCACTGAATTAGTTGTCATTTAGAATATAAGACATTTTTGGGGTTACGTATAATCCATTCGCCCAGAACGAATGCAACTGAAATAATCGACCTCTCAAGTAGTTCCATGAATATAAAGAAAAGAATTTGCATATCTAGAGGTATCCCACAGCCGGGACAACATACTAAATCCAAATATTTCAGAAATGCATAACGCAGCCTTGGCAGCTGTCGAGTTCGAATGGCAAAAATTCCAGTCCGCACTTTTCAGACGACCTTAAAACCATCCCGACATAACGTAACATCCACCAAGGCGATATGTCTTAGACGCTAACTGCACCAGCATTGAATCTAACTGTTCAGGCGACTCAGCAAGCGTGTAAAAACCACTGCTTAGCCAATAGCCGCCGAGGAATCTTCTTCTCGACCAATAGCCACGACTGCAACGGCATCTATAAGACAAGACACCTGCGATTTGAACTCATTTCGGTCGCGAAGAGTTCCTCGAGTCCGTCTTAGTCGGCCTAGGAAGACACAGGCTCGTTTTTGTTTGCCCCGTGAACTTGATTTTGCTGTTACGAGAGAGTGGCTTTGACATTGTTGTGTGCTAGTGTGGTGAAACAAGTGAGTTCAACGCCTGCCGCTGTTCTTTTAAGGACTCTCACGATTCGTGTTGTAGTAAACGATTAAAAGGTAGGTGCAATGTTGGATCGTGGCGGACGTTGTTCTTTTTTAGCGGGTCGGGGGATTTTAAGAGCGCTATTACAAAGACAAGCACGGTGCATTTAGTTCGATCACTTTTACTATCCTGTAAAAATGTTACTGTTAAGTTAATGTCGAACGAAATGCAAGTTCAACCGATGATCGAAGATGAATAGTTGCCGACTTATTGCCATCTTGATTTAATAAGAAAAATTCAAACAAAGTGTACCGGGTGGTCCAATTGGTCACAGATAGAGAAAATCTGACGGACGAGTCAAAAGCTCTTTTTTGAGAAAATAACAATGGCGCAAACCGCATCTTTCTATCTGTCACCCTTTTCGAGCTACAGGCACTTTTTTGAGATGCATTCGATGACATAAAAATAAATGTGATATTTTTAGTTTTTGTGATATGACCACAACTTGTGTTTTTTTTATATGGCCTGTATTTTATTTCAACAACGGAAAGAGGGCTAAAAATGCATACCAAAAATATATACTGTACTTATTATTTTTTGTGTAGAATTGCGGAAAATATAAAATTTTTAAAACACGATATTTAAGTTTTCGGACTAAGAAGGCTTTGAAAACAAACAAGTTTGATGTTTAACATTATTAGAAGCGTGTTTAGATCTATCTCTATACTAAATTTTCGTTTACAATAATAATAATAATTAAAAACTGTTTCTTTTTCAGGAATGTCGACATAATAACAAAATATAGTGATAAAACTAACAACCAAATAAAATTACTTTAAAAAACGTTAATTTTAAGTCTTCTTAAGCATTATCATTACGGATAATCGTCTGAAAATACAAAAATATGTTGATTCATCTCATTATTAGACCTAGAAGATCACACGAGATCAATTAAAAATTTCAAATTGCAGTTTAACAGGACTCCTGACAGTCAAGAACACAGTCACGTATGAGCAATAACAAAAAATTTATAATTGCGATGGTAACGGTAACCGTTAACCGTTTTCATCTTATGCTTGTTTGCGTTTAATTTATTTATAAATTCAATTATTACCATAGTTGTATAATATTGTAAATCCTCGAGATAACTATTCTTCCCTTTTTCGAGAAAAAATATATATAATAATGATGGTAATAATGGGTTTGTTAGCATACGGAATTTCAAGGAAATTGCTGCATAAGAGAAAAAATAAGATGTGCCAAAAGGCTGAAGCAATTTTCAGTTCAAAATTGGGCAATTTATTGCGCAATTGCATGTTGCAAGAAACTTAAATGAAAAAGTATAGCATTTTAAGTGCTGTTAACACAAATTATTTATTTAGTATATTTTTAATTGTATAGGTAAAAATAAGTTGATACAAACAGACACTGTTATTTTGAAACTGTATTTTCTCTAAAAATTCTCGATTTTTCTCTTAAAACAGACCACTTAAGAGAGCGAAATGCAGAAATATGTTATACAATTTATCGTGGCTGAATATCGTTTAGCCAAAAACTTGATTTAATGAGAATTAAGACAACCAATTATCGAATTGGTTCTTTAAAACAACGTACGAGTTACGGCTAATAACTATAATTTTAGAAAATTGGCACAAATACGTATTTACAAAACTCATTCACACATTTTTCTTGAAAAAATGAAAAAAATTAGTTTTCCATGCAACTGATGTGAATTAAAAAATATTTATTCCAGTGGTTCTTAAAAGCTATTAATCACAACTATTATAATTTTGATTTAATCAAATTAATTGCTCTAAAGTTATAGAAGCAAATAAGTTGAAATTCCTCCTATAATACACTGAATATGACAAATACAGCATTATCAGACCCAAACCAAGAGTATTCTCTGTCGAAAAATTTGTTACACTCTTTCCAAAACATCCTGTATTCGTAATATCACTTGTTCTCAATATTTGTTAGCTTACTCGTGTATATAAAACAATTTTATTCGAGAATTTCATGTGAAAATAATAAATAGGCGTACTTCATGAATATAAAAAAAATAATATACAATTTTTTCTGGCTTTAAATCCTGGCTATGTTTTAAAACTGGGTTAATTCTAGCTCCGCTGACATAATCTTCGTGTGACTGGTTTAACAATGGTGACAATTGTTTTATAAAACAGGAAATTTCATACAGTTAGCTTATCAAAAACAGACTGTTGTACCCATTCTAATTTGTTGTATCTAAAATTTCACATACAACTATGTCCATTTTACATCATTAATCAAAGTAGAATATAAGTATTTTAAAAAATAATTGTATAAGTAATATTTTTAATTATTATTTCTGTGTTCCCCATAGTTTCATTTATTTATTTTACTATATTAAGTCAAAAGTAAAGTAAAACATATTTTCACCTATCTTCCTAATTGCTTTGATAGTATTCCTGCATTAAACTTAAAAATTTCAACGCTCGCTAGATGTTCCAATCTAATATAAATGAAATTCTTAAACTTTGCTCACAAACAGAACGCTCTCATAAAGAAATGTGTGCCAATTAGCAACTGATTTGTATCATTATGCCAAATGCGTCCCACACAACACATATTCTCCAAATAGTACTGTTAACAAGGATCCAAATTAGAGATCTCCATCAAGTCAAAACGTTACCCTTTCACTGATTGTTAGAATAGAAGTGCAGACTTCACTAATCTTTCTCCTCGTCTTCCAGTGAAAAAGCGCGGTTAATTTTCCTTTCACGAAACTGGTATATTCGAGATGTATCGACGATAACAGTTATATAAGTTAAGACTTCGAAAAATGCGGTCGTTGATCTAAACCGTTACATTTCCAAACGCATCTCGTGCCATACATATGCCGTGTATGGTCTCAACGTTATTTTTAGAAACTTATTGGTACTACGTTGACGCTTGTCAGGACGATTTGGATCTATTTGGAGTCCCTATTTATGGGGATTTGGAGCGGTCCAGTAATTCGCTATTGTTTGGCTGTCCATTAAAAGTTTCAAATGTGTGTTACTTTTTTGAGAACAGGCTAGTGTAAAATCAAAAGGTGTTTTATGGAAAGTAACATAAAATTTAATGTTTTAAGACATATTGTTCAATTGGAGAGTCCAAGTGCATGATAATCAGATAAAGATTATTGCTGTAAGGAAAAATCTACAGGAATTGAGTGCAGAAGTTGCCTAACAGTATGAAGATATATGTTTCTCCAAAGAAGTTTAACATTCATTGTTAACTATTCCCTATTTCCACCTATTCCTAACAGCATTCCAAAGTAGGTCTATCTATGAGAATATACAGGTTCTTTCTAGATAAAGATTTCCCTTTAAACTTCTTCTTTCTTCGAGAATAACGTATTCCACTTTCATCAGAAATCTTCATCAAAGACCTGGTTTAATCTGTTCCCTTCTGTCAGATTCAAATACATGTGGTATTCTTTCTATGACACACCATCAATTTGTTTTCCATTTTTTTCAAATTGAGAATTATATTTCTTCCCAACTTTAACACAACAGTAAGCCTAAGCCCAATCAAAATTAAGTTTCTGATGGTATTCCGACAGCAACAAAACAATATGAAGGAAAGGAAGTAGTGCCTATCCTTTTTACTTCTTTACTTTCCTCACGTCGTTTTTTGTCGTTCGCCACAATGAGGCATTTAATTTTATAATCGCTTCCTTATTTTCGTTTTCCTACAAGTTCCTGTGCACAAAAACGAAATGGTGTTCATGCCTAAAAGACCCACGTCCTGTAATACATTTCTTGCAACTAACAATAACTTTTAATGGCTCGTTGGAGGTACTATGGGATAAGGATGAGTTATAATCATTTTGCGGTAATAAGAGAGACCTATAAAGCCGTCTTGATCGACCAAAAAATTAGGAATTCATTAACCAAGACCATAAACTTGGTCGGTCATTAAATGATGTACACAGGGATCAGCAACTTTGAGAAATTTAAACAATCTGGTGTCGCGCAATATAGAATTACTTTTTGCACTTGTATCTATATAGTATTTTAAACAACAGGTTTTAGAAAAACAAATTTAAAAGCTATATGAGTTTAGTAAAACTGCTTTTCTTACATTTGTTGTATACTATTTTTTTTGCATTTTGTGTTAGTAGCATTACAAAGTATCATTTCTGTGAGTTGAATTGATTCTAAGTTATATATTAATTATAAAAATTAGTCTCGCTACTGAAAACAATTTAGAAAATTGTTCTGAAGACATTTTAAATGCTGCTCGAGAAGCATCTTCGAGCTTACTTCCTTTAAAATCCAAGGAAAAATACGAGGAGGTATATGAAATATAATGTAAGTTTGGGATGACAAAAAACGCACTAAGAACTGATGAAAGTGTAATGCTAGCCTATTTTTTTGAGAATGTAAGCTATTTTTTATACATATTTTAGTGTTTTTCATACATGTCTTCCGTTATTTTAGGCAAAAATCTCTTAAGCCATCCAGATTTCTATTTTTTGACAGTTTTTCTCGTATAAGACCTGTTGTCAAATTGGCCATGAACAGAAAGATTCCAAAAACAATTGAACTAACTTGACATTATTTGTGAAGTTAGTTGTCAAATTATTCTTATGTCTGTAATAGTTTTTGCTGAAAATTTATATAGAAATGCCTGGGGATCGTTTAAATTATACTTATGAGGATTATTTTAATTTGTTTATTATTTTTATGGAAAAAAGCAGGAGATTCTCTACATGTTCTTGAAATTACTTTGTCGCATTTTCCATAAATAACAAACAAATTAAAATAATCCTCATTAGTACAATTTAAACAATATCCAGGCATTTTTATTTAAATTTTCGGAAAAAACTATTCAGCCACAATAACGATTTGGCAACTAACTTGATAAATGTCATGTTATTTCAATTGTTTTTGGTGTGTTTCTGGTCATGTCCAATTTGACAACAGGTCTGATACGAGAAAAACTGTCCAAAAAATAGAAAATTACAAATATCTCCAAAAGTAGTAACGGAAACCCTAACAATGCTTATATGGTTTGAAAGGAAATTTTAATCTGCATACGACAG